TTAAAAATTCGACCATATAGGAGAGTGAAACGCGATCGAATTACTTCGCAGGAATACGATCCGCCTTCGTGTCAATTTTCCGGGTCGGCCGAAGGCCGAAGGTCAATCGTTTAGTCGTAATAACCAACTTGATTCCCCGTGAATTGATTTGGTTCTTAAAAATTTGCGTGAAAAATATTACTTCTCAGATTTTACGTTAAATTGTATTACATTAAATGACACGCTTAATTAAATATTATTTTATCATGAAAATTCTTATCAGAAAATTAGGAGACGTCTTTTATGAAGACCTCTCGCAAAATAAAATATTTTAAAAAATAAAATTAAAAGTCATCTAATTAGAAAATATTTTACATAAAAAAATTAAACAGACGTTCGCGCTGAAAATTCTTGTTTAAGCTAAATTTATATTTAAATTCTGCGAAATGTTTGTCATTAAAAAATTTAATGCGATCTGAGAATGTCTAGTAATAATTGGCGTAATAATTAGAGGATTCAAAGGATTTTGAATTCTGGAAACTCTCGATGATTTACATAATTTTCGTATTTTTTCGTGTCACTGGATTACAATTATAAATAATGAAAAGAATAAAATAGTGACGATATTTCCGTCGAACTGCCATTTGTCATTACGAGCATTCGTTATTACGTTAATCCTATTGTAGAACGAAAAGTGTATCGATAAAGTTAAATTTTCTCTCGATAATTTATTAAAGCTCGTTCTAGTTTTATTCAGTTATTTCGTCATCGCCGATGCAATTACGGCAGTTTAACAAAAGCGTGACGATCATGTCTTCTTTAATTAGCCATTACGAAGTTTAAAACGGATCGCGCTTTCGTTAAGTTGGCTAATGCAATTTTCGAGAAACGATGCGCGCGGAATGACTATGTGGCGGGGTAACAACGTGGATTAGCGTGATGAGGCAGGTGTTCTTTCTCTACGTTTCACGCGTGAAACGTCCACTTCTATACCGCCACATAAAAGTTCGTAAATTAATAATTTCCTAAAATGAAATGTAAGAGAATATTTTTTTTCTGACGAATTTCAAGTGACTTTTAACGAGAATTTTATTAGAAAATGTTATACATAGAAAAGATATTAAGGCCAGAAAGGGATTTAATAATGATTTAATTAATATATAGATCTGACATAATAATGATTTAATTAATATATGGATCTGATATAGATGGAGACATAATAATTTTTTCTTGTGTAATTTTTTTAGATTTATTGAATAAAGTAGAACTTCGAAATTTTATTTTTAAATTTTGTAATAATATTTATTTTGAAAAAATTTTATAAATAGTACAATTACGTTATGTTAAAAATTAGAAGACTTTTGAATTCTTTAATAAATTTTAAATGCAATAAAAATAATTAGATAATATACTCTCTAAAAGTGAATCAGTGGAATCATCACTAATTGTCAGTGTATATCCTTTTCCAGTGACATACTTAGAACTGTGATAAACAGTGATTATTTCAATGTCGCTTCAATGATAATACACTGATTTAAACAGTGAATATCACTGAAGCGACATTGAAATAGTGATTATTTATCACAGTTCTTAGTATGCCACTGGAAAATAATATACACTGATAATTAGTGATGATTTCACTGATTTACTTTTAGAGAGTAAGAGATTTATTTTTAAATAAATTTTCTTTGATAAAATTTTAGGAATTAGATAACACAAAATATTACAGGCATTGTTATAGATTATAGAATATCCTTCACAGGTGTAATTTTGATCTGATCAAACCGTAAACTATAAATCATTAACTAATTAAAACCCCAGATGCACTTGAGTTTATCGATTTGATCGTAAATATCGATTGCATAGATAAACTGGTGTTATTTGTATTACAGCTGGCTATTTATATGATAACTATAGTCTCTCTCTCTGAAGGTTAATAATCGAAAAAGGCCCGCACGTGCAGATATAGACATTATGAGCTATGAATCCTTAGAGATCTTGTTTTATTACTGTCTTTAAAGGTCGGTTGTACCGTCGTCGATTATTCACGACTGTAATGCATTAAACTCTAATTTTTTCAGAACTTTTCTACAAGACCTCTCTAACGAACCGTAGTTTAATAAAGACTGAAACACGCACATAGGTACAGTTACAAATATCAGGAATTAGGACTTTTATTCTAAAATTATGAAACCAATAAGAATTTTTAAAGAAAGTCTTACTTGTTACGAAATTAATTTTATTTTTATAAAAAAAAATAATTTATGTTGAAAATTAATTTTATTTTAAAGAAAATAATAATTTATGTCGAAAATTTAGAACTTTTATAAGAAAACGTTATTTACACACATTTAACGATAAAATTAAACGATAAAAAATTTAACGATAAAAAAATCATAATATCTTTCTAGTCACAACAGTTTTATTTTTTTCAGCTTTTTCAAGATCGATCATATTCGATCACAAACTTATCAACCTCTCTATTTCTAATTACTTCAGTAATACATTCCTTTAATGACACTTTAATTTTTGCATTTTGTTAAATAATATTTTCGTTAAAATTGAAATCAAATGTTGTAGATGAAGAATATAGTTTTAGTCATTTATCTCGAGTCGTAGATATCAAGTGACTTATATTTAAGATAGAACATACAATTTTCTTTCGGCAATTGTAACTAGCTCTTTGATCATGAATTCAAGACCATGTCGTTTGTACGAATGCTTCGTTACTTGCGTAATTCTCCATACGCTTCCTCTTTCCCTTTTAACGTCTCTTTTGCGTCTTGTCTTGCATTGCTCTATTATGCGATAGGATCGGGATTTACAAAGCCCATGTATGATGTGATTCTCTTTATCGTAGGTAATCGTAATTTGTCATTCCGTTCGCTTTTACCTCTTTTTCCGCGACTTCATAATTCAATCTCGCTTGCGATTATTTCCTGAATGCTTCCTCGTTGCGCAATTCGAGATCGCAATAAATCTCATCAAAGGTCACAGATTTTTGCGTATTTTTATAGAAAAATTTATTCGAAGAAAACATTATATAATTTTATTCATGTCATTTTTCTCGTTTTGTACCCATATATCATTTTCGTTATATTTAGTTTCTATATCTCGCTTCATTACATGCAGAGCTAATATAGGAATTATGAGGATATGAGATTGCGATAAAAATGGCACTTAAAACATTTCTTTAAATAAAATTTTAGCTTATTTATAATTTCAAATTCATTTTAGTATCTTAACGTAACAATTTTTTTCTGTTGTCGATAATTAAAGAATTTAACCTAATTTTACTTCATATTTAAATATCAGAAGAGAATTTCTTTTTTTTAACATAACTGCGAAACTATAATTTTTATAAAGTGACTTTTCTCGTGATTACTTTGTGATTATTCCATTTTTAAATATTTAATAATTAAAAATTTTAAATATGACGTCAAGTAATATACGTTGCGAATATACGTTTTTTTTTTATATGTGTCAAGAGGTTTTTGTAGAAGAAGATAAAAAGCATCTTTTCGGATCGACAACTTGACGAGCGCTCTAAGGGTTAATTCGGGGGTTAAGCTGATGGTCGAATAGCCTCGTTACTCAAATGTCGAGAAAGATGACGTGAAAGAAATGGAACATCAGAGAGATAAGCTATTTGTTTGGATCTAAATTCTGATTTTTCATAAAATTCATAGGTATTTCCTTCGTAGATTACATTACACAACGTATTATAAAATGTAAAATATATAAATGTATGATACATATAAATATACATAAAACATATAAATATATAATAATAAGAATTGAGATACCAAGCACAATGTGTGAAAGTACTCGCATCATAATGCATTATTGTGAAGCCGGATAAGAGGAAACCATTTTCCGTCTCAATGAACTAATACATCGCGGAATTAAGAGAATACTTGGCTTACGAGCGACGCATAATGTGTCCTAAAGTTCTATCGAAAGTAAAAGTTCTGACATAGATATATTTTTATAAATATTGTTACAATGTGATTGATACCTCATCAGAAAAAGTGTACTTATATTCAATAAAAACGAATTTAATAAACTGAATTATATATCAAGTAATACAATTATACATACATACATACATACATATGTATATCTAATTGTAAGTTTATTATATTTTAATATAATAAAATATATAATTTACATAATTATATATACATATTTATACATAATTTTATTTTATATATAAATATATATAATTATATATTTTATTTATATATTTTGTATATACATATGTAGTGTTGTATGAATTGTTTTTCAACATTAATATCTACAATACATGTATCGAATATTTATTTAATGTTTATGTTGAAGCTATTTTTCTTCTTATTTCTTGTTGAAGATAGATTCGACTCATTTCAAAGATTCTTGTTTGGAAAATAAACTCGATTATTGTAACGATGTTATTGCAACATTGTGTTATTGTGTTATTGCAACGATGTTTTTTATACATTTGGAATTAGTTTCAAAACATCAGATTATTTTAATTGATTTTTTAATTACTTCAAGTAAAATTTCTGAATCTGTTAATAGTATATAATTTAAATTCCAGTAATTGTTAATAAACAATTCAACCTCTCTGACTGATAAATTACCTATATGATACAAATGTGTAGAATTTTTTTTAAAATCCTCATGATTATGGCTCTCTTGATCTATTTTTAATATCCGCGACAAAATCGCTGGCAAATTCAGCTTTGTACCGAGATAAAATAAAGTGTCTAATTTTAAGGTTTTTATAAAAAAGAAAATGTCGTTGCTCGTCGACCCTCAGAGATTATCACGATTATCTTGAAATTTCGCTCGCGTAAAATGTTAATAATTCACGACGGTTTGACAGCGTCGTACGCTACTAGAACGCAAAATTGCCGTGCAGTTCGCACAGAATGTCGTGAAATTTTGTTCGCGAATTTATTAATAGACGGAGACGTGTCACGTCCGTGGCGAACGCAACGAGATCCCTCGCGAAAATCTCTGGAGGGGAGGGGTTTCACCTGCATAATCACCTGTCGTTAGTCTCCTCGTCGATCATGCGACACTCGAACTTTACCATTGCGTCACCTGGCATTCTCACCACCGTGAGCCGCGTGTCTGTTCGCGTGAGCATGTGAGATCGAATGTACTTCGCATCACTTGCGTGACGTCGAACTTAATCATAACTTTGTCCATTAAGAGCGGGCGAGATAGATATTCGAGGAGCTCGCGTCTGACAATACACTTTCCTCGAAAATTTGCGGAACGCACGCTCGAAAATTCCGCGCTCGACGATATCGCTCTGGTCCTTGCTCATCGATGAGTCACTCGCTTCCTCGAAGAAGGTCTCTTAGCGCTCCGATATTGTCCACAAACACGCCAATCACCGATTTGTATATCACTTAATACCGCTCGTCAGTTGTACCTCGCGCTTTAGTGACTCACACGTTTCTAAAATTTGTACACTGAATTAATTCGCGGATTTATACGATTCTATATTTTGAATCGAGGAGCTAATGGATCCACGAAATAGTACCCTTTTCATCTCGAAGTATCCCTTTTTTTTTTAAATAAATCCTTTATTTTCTGAAGAGAACTTTTTAATTAACTTGTTTCTTTATTATTGTATCGCGTAAGCTAACTTAATGAGAAAAAAAAAACGAAAAGTCTTAATAATCCGAGAATTCTTGGAGTCTTAAGTAAGATTAGTTTTAATTCTTGAAAAAGCTCTCGGTTGATCGTCTTTTGTACAACTTGGGTGTCTCTGCGATACTCATCCATTAAAATACACTTGTTACTTCGTGAATGAATCACTTTTTCTTTCTCAAAGAGAAGTAAAAGAAGCCCGTTGTGTCCCCGAAGGATTATACTTGCGAAGCTTCTTTGATCGTTTCGGATAAACCTCAGGTTTTTTTCTCTTGAAAAAGTTTAGATTGATTATTTTTTGATCCCCGGTGTATCTTTGTAGTTGCAGTTGTCCATTAATTTCTCGTTTTTTTTTTGTCAAATGATAAAGTAACTTTTCGGCTAGCGGCTGAAGTAAATATACCGAGTGTCGATTCACGTCACTCTCGATGTCACTAATTTACGATATTTTTTACTCGTTAACGATCACGATAGTTATTGTTAAAATTTGCATTAAATTAATGGAGTTACGTTTGTATTGTCTCTTAGTAAGATCTAATAAAATTTTCGAGATTTTAATAGAACTTATTCACATTGTTTGCATCAGTCTTTACTTATTTTATTAATAATCCTAACGGTTATCGATGATATCAATAAGCTTGAATTCGATGGGAATTTCCGTTTACAGTGCTAATTTCGTAAGCGCACATATATAAGCTCGTGTTATGGTTACCAATCATTAACAGTCTCGAACCACTATTAATCTTGCTGGCGCGACCACGGATAATTTACTATCCAGAGAATGTTGATCGTGCTGATTGACCGTACTGGTTGCTAATCATATTAAATTTATTAACCAATCTTGAGTACGATTATTATTCTTTTACGGTCATTCTGTATACTCCAATCATATATCCAATAATTATATTGGTAACCTTTTATTATTCAATAATCATATTGTTAAAAATACAATTGTTTAAAATAATTAACAGTCTTTTTTTTAAATAATTCATGTTTATCTCTCATTTGTTATTTACTTCTTATTCATTGTTTATCGACTACGTTGACTGACGCACTCATTAATAAGTTTATCGATGTTCATTTTTCTTTTTTTAGTTTACATGATGAACACTGGTGATTTGAAGCCAAAGGGTCTCAATGATGCACTACTTCTCGCCAATCGTTAAATATTAAGTTTTCCTATTCCATGGCATTTTCACGTTCTATTCCGTGACGTTTATTCGCAACTTTTTCTCTACTTTCACACTTTTTCTCCTCAAAAGCTTTCTACAGTCGACAGCGCGGCCTTGCTCGCTCCGAACGGGAGGCGTAAGATCAACAAGCGGTTTCGGAGCGCTCTCGCGGCGCACTGAAGTGCGTCTAGCCAGGAGAAGAGGATCGGCAGCGTCGCGGCGCGCCGCGTCGCCTCGCGTCGCGCCGCTACGGTACAGTCGCGAGTGCGACGAGAGTGACCCTGGCAGTGAGTGCCGCCTGCGCACTCTCGCCCCGTTGTGCCGGTCCTCTCCTCTCCGGTTCTTTTCCCTCTCGATTCCTCGGCTTCGTACATGCTCCACTGGCGCGGCGCCTCTTTCACCCTTTCGGGGATCACGCGACTTAGCTCTCCGACTTGGCTTTCAAAAGCCATCCCCGTTCCCCCATCGCGCGCGTGTACACTTCTTTCTTATATCTATTATACGTCCGCACGTTTCGCCGGCCCGTTTCGTCTGGCTCGTTCCCCGCGCCATTCATACGCAGCACCAGGAGATCCCAAACCGGGCGTCGCTATACGCTATAGTCTAAACTTGACGAACGTAAACAGAGGCTATATTCTTTGCCGTTCGTATATGTATGTGCGTCTGAATTCGAGATACTCGTGTATATCATTTCAATTCTTCGCACGCGCGCGCGAGAATCAAGTGACGTTGATGTAAAAAGAATGGGTATATACGAGTCAGATGAGATTTTGATTGAGCTGAGATTAGATTTTCATGAGATCGTATTTTAATCAAATTCGATCTGCAGAGGTATTTTACCTTTGGCAATCTCTGAAATGGTAATGATTGTTGATTTAATTTAAAAGACTTTTTTTATACGCTTCGATACGCTTCGATTTTATTTACCATTTTTCTCGTTTAATTTTTGTCTCTCTTTCTTTCTCTTTCTATTTTTTACATTTTGGTTACTTCGCATTTACTTATCACGCGCGTGTAGAGTGCGCAGGAAAGGATGGGTATTTGCTTAGCGAAAAGGTAGCGAGACACAATTATCTCTTTTGTTTCTTCCTTAATTCTCGTTTCTATTTTTATGATTCTACTTCAATTTTAATCAGGGAAAATGTAGAAATATCGTATTCCGATGGCGACTCGAAATAAGAAAATTGCTAAATTTAGTAGAACAGTGCTTCTGGTATCTGTCGTATATATTTCCTTTATGTTTGAGTTTGACTTGACATCAACGATCTATGCACCTGATCTCTGCCATTTATGTATCAAGTGGGTTCCTCTTCGTCATATTTTATGTCGAATATCCGTTATGGAAAATTTGTTCGTTTGCAACGTGAATCCAGTTCTTTGAATTTTTTGTAAAATATATATTTATTCGGAAATTGGGCGTGCGATTTTTGATTATAAATAATTGCGCGGTCCATATTTTATAATACACATATATTAAATGTTATTTAATGTCATTATTAAATTGCGTATTACGTACCATTAATAATAATCGTCAAACAGTTTTATCGAATTATGCACCTACAATATTCTATAATGACGATTTGTTTATTTTAATTAATTAAGAAGTTATTAATTTTTGAAGAATTAATTATCGATAACTGATATAAATTTGTATGTATTTACTTATGAGAACGAGATATATTTGTATAATGATTTTACCACTCTTGTAATTTTAAAAAGCTTGTAAAGTAAAAGTTCTAAGAAGTTTACAATATTTAAATATGCAGAAGGAATTTAGTGAATAAAATTTGTAACATCGTTCATTCACAAACATCCGATATTAAAAAAAAATGTTCCCGTCGTTATTTTTAACTTGTGCCCTTTGCACTAAAGCGATACTATTTTCTGCTCGAATTTTTGTTCGTCTCTTTCATTTTTTGATATCATACATATCCCGTATTTTCTTTCTCGCATTTTTTTTTGGCGTCATGCACTCGTATTTTTGTTCGCACGTATTTCCACTTGCGGGAGTTTATTATACGAGCTCCAAGATATATCCCGTTTCAGCGTATCCCTTTTATGATTAGTCCAATTTCGTCGCCCCTCTTCCTGTCTTCTCATTCCTTATTTATGTCAGACGAAGACATATCAAAATGACACCTCTCTTTCTCCAATCTCTCCAATGCATCTCATCCTCCTAATTTTTATTTTTTTCTTTCTCCTCAGATTCAGCTTGCATATAGACTAAAATCTTCATCCATTTACTCAAATCTTTTTCTTGTTAAAAGATAATTATGTAGATTGCGCTAAATAAGAAATGAGTTAATAATGTTTTAATATTGTATTTTTATTATTAATTGGGTCAAAAATAATGCGCGATAGAATTGTTCTAAACTTAGCCCGTTAAAATTTAATCGAAATTCTTACAGGGGACGATTTTACACGTGTTTTACCCCCGTGCATCATTTGATTCGAGAGCCGATAAAATAGTGATTTAGATTTTAGATCCCTTTCTGAACATATACGCTTATACTTGTTCTAATGGGGTCCGACCCAGAATAATAAATAGATTTCGCCTTTACCTCTCCCTTTTTCATGCCCATCAATATGATAAACAATCTTTCTCAGGGCACGAGGCAACGATTTACACGGTTTTACACGGTTGCCACTAACCGCGGATTTATCCGCGCGTAAATCAAAATAAAGTTCGAACATTGGACCGGGAGAGAGCCGTTACGATCTCTATGGTTAATTCTGGTTGTGATTTATCGTGACGTATCCCTTTGAGTGATCGCGATAAACCTCAGTACAGTGATCGTGTACGATAAGCTGTCGTCGGTCGTCGGATTACCGCGGCATTGTTCCAGCATTTATCGCGAATTGTTTTACGACATCGCGTAAGGGATGGAAAGTACATGAACGTACATATATCTCGGAAGTGGTACATATGATGTACGACCGTCGATTAGTATCTTCGCTTTTATCGGGCTTTTCGTAACTCGAAATTAGCCTCGTAATATCGATTCTAATAACGGAACTGCGTTTCAGCGGAGAGCAGATAGTGATGTAACGCCGTTACTCATGGTTATGGATTAGTTATAGTATCGATTTAATTCAACGCGAAACGCGATTCTTCGGCATCGTAGATCCATCTCTGTAAAAGTATATATAATCGACGCTGTTACATATAGGGAAAGTACATATAGTGGTACGCTTGGTGGTACGTGTAGGTAACGAAGTAAAGGGACCGATAAATGCATAAGAGAACTTTGAAATTACATATTGGAATTCTCGCTCGAGATTTAGAAATGAAAAGAAATTGCCGTAAAAACGTGGCTTAGAGAAAAAGATTTTTTTGGGGTTTTTCGATTAGTAATGCATTATTCTTTACTACAAGAGCGTTAAATAATATAATTAAAAATATGTAAAACAAGTAAGACAATAAATGAGATCGTATGACGCCTACACGGTACAAAGCAGGATCTTAGTGCTAAGATCTCAGCACTAAGATCCTGCTTTGTACCGTGTAGGCATCGTACGATCTCATTTGTTTGTTAACATTCCACGGTTTCCTGATATTTAATTAAGACAATAAAGTTTTTTTTACTTTAATCTTGATTTATATAACTATAGAATTGTTTCTCTTAATCTGTTAAGCTTAACAAATACAGTTGCACTTGCAATGATTTACCGTGTAATTTTTCTTTCATTTCAAGAAAACGGGGTTGCATGAGTCCCATTGTTAATTATTGTACCGCAGTAAAATTAATTATGTTTTGAGTCGACAGAAAAGCGATTATGAATCCCGCGTGAGGATGGTATTGTTGTATTGTTCACGAGACTAGATTAATTGCGTCGTGCGTTGCGTCACTGATCGGCACCATCCAATGGACTATAGTCTTCTAGTCCTTAGAATTCCGATATCGCGCACACAGTAAGGGAAAATTACACAGCTCATACTTTGTAATTATCCCAGTTGGAACGTGCCAATGGATAAGCTAGTTTAAATGTGTTTGCCAGAGGCAACGAAGTTGAATTAATTAACTTTCACAAATTGCAAGGCACACGATACCTTTATATTGTGCTTTAACAAGTAACAAAAGGAGCTTCAATTACTAATAAGTAAATGAAATAAGTGAAATAATAAAAAAAAATTTTTATTTAATATTCAAATTTATGTGATTTTAATATGCATTACGGGCGTAGAAAGTTTACTATAAGTTTTGAGATTTGCAAACATTGCAACACTCCTAATTTTACATATAATTTAAAATATACCTTGTACTTTGCACTTTAACCATTTACTACGTTTTATTCAGCAATTCTAGTATGCACAGTCATATACTATATTATAGGGCAAATATTACACAATGCAGTACAGAAATTGCACGTACGATTGGTTGTAGCAATCGATTAATTGCCGTATGGAGATGTAACCAACCCCAATCCGCGCAATTTTCACAAATTCTCGTTATCTTTTCCGATTTTCGATTTATTCAACTGTTATTACGAAACAATATTTTGTGATTGGTTCCACACTGTATCGCTTTAATTTGTGGAGATCACGCATATATACGTCTATTAGAATACATGCGATTAATCAGATCACCCTCCAGTTGCTTGTTGTCATTATTAATGCATCTGTATGCATAATCAAAATGATTATGCAACACGGCTGCAATTGCGGTTGCGGTTTGCGCGCCAAAAGTTATTAAAAGTACTCGCGCAGGGTACCACGTTTGTTGGCTGCCGAGTGTAAAGTCGTAAGAAAGTTGCACGCGCGCGCGAGTCGCCAGCAGTGCACGATTTGCTCTAGATGATTCAGCCGCTACGAGACATCGTCGAGAGATGTCCTGGAAACTCGCCTTACTTTTTAGAACACTTTTAAAATTGCCAAACTTTTAAAATTGGCACGGACATCCATGCGTGTATAATTATTTTCCATGACACACAACACTCTCAAACTTTTAGAAAAACTTTTACATTATTAGTTTTATTGCCAACAAACGTGTTGTACACGTTTGCGAAATACTCTTTTATTTATATAGTTATTGTGCAGGGAAAAATGAAGTGTTTTTACGGACATTTGTGAAGCTCGGTATCGAAAGAACGTAACATAGTGAAAGTATCGTAGAATTAAAGGCGATATATATATGTAGGTCGAATTTTCCAACCGCGACCTTTTTCTATCGCTGTATCGACATTGAATTCCCATTTACGAGAAACGCGACGAGAGTCTCGAAAAATTTTCGGCAAATTACAAAAGGTCTCTGGCGAGTCGTGCATCACTTAG